AAAAATACAGACATTTTCTTACTCCTGTTTGAATGTTATACCTAGCAAATATTTACCACGTTGTCGTACACATGACTTAATATAATTACTTAATTTTAAGAATTAATATTACCATACAATAAATATTCATGCGTAATTGTAATAATTTATATTAATCTCTTTAAATTTAAAATAAAATACTGAGATGGCAGTCAAAATTAAAAAAATCTTGGAAGTGGAAAATGAAAGGTGGGCAAGTGGGTGTCAATCTGCGTCTCATGCTGTACAGTAACTAGTAAGTTACAAGAGGGTCACTTAAGTGGACGGTGTTAAATTTGAATTCACTGATATAATATCATACCAATTGTGTACGAAAAACGATTTTAAGCGAAGTCTTATCTATAATATTACTTAGTATATTTGGAGATATTATTGTGAATAAAGTAATTTATTTACATATTTACGTGGATCCTTGTTTTAATTATTCAATCCTTAGCTATAAAAGTTGAACATTTTATAAATTTTAAACTACAAAATAATTTTTAAATTTTAAATTTGATAAATGTTAATTCAGTGTTATTTTATTTTTTAATCTTACGAAACCTTATAAGTGGCTTCTTTAATCATGCATTCATGCCAATAAAATTACGGCATTGATCAAATACTCTTATCATACATTATATAAGTATAGATGGTTTATATCTTAATTTAAATTTTTAAATAAACCTGGGTACATATACTCTATGTTTTTATAATACAAAATATAGTATTTATTTATATTTATTTTCATTAATATTTAGACGTTACTACTTACTGCTATAACTCTACTATGGGGTATGATATAAGGGATTCGATTTAGGGAGTGTTTTCTATTACCAAAATATTTCTATTTTTGAAGGATTTTCAAATTGAATAAAGTGAAAAAGTCGTTTTCAAGTAATTTTTATGAGCAATTTTCAGCAATGTTATTAGATAATAAATTGGGTTATTCAATACATTTGACCAAGATTGAAACTTTTAGACAAAATAACCTTAATATAAATAAATAATTTATGTTCTACCGTTTTTCTACCTGTTTTACTCCTTGTTTATATGACGTGCATGGTGCACGTGTGGTCCACTTCAGTCATACACATTATGAGTGAATTCTGAGACAACAAAAAAAAACAAAATAATGAGTATTCCTGTACACGTTATTAACGTCTGTGTACTGCGTCGACGTGAGGGAGCGCTCCACTATTTACCCACTCACTCGACACACCTATATGATATGTTATGTACTAGGTAGTAGGTACGCAAACAATCACATTACACACACGTAGAAACAGAAAATTGCCTATATTGAACTCCTTAAAAACATTTAGTATTGACTATTGAATCCTAATGATAGTTTTAGTTAGGAACCTAAATCTAATTTTTAAGTGAATTTAGTTTTATGCTAGGTATTCTATAGATACTTTTACGATTAATGATAGTGCCTACTACACTCATAAAAATACAATTTTACCTACTATTCATTTTTTTCATGTGAATATAATATTTTTTATTCGCAATTAGACATGATAAACAATAAATATAAAAAAGGCCATTATCAAGACTTGACATTTTACCCAGATGGATGTCAAGCCATTTTTATTAGAGTCCTCATAAGGACACTCAAAATTACTTAAAATATGAAGTTCTAAGTCATAAATCACTCCAGGTACTCCCAGCAACTAAAGTTCCTACACAGATCTCCATATAAACAATTAAAAAAACTGCATATTATTTATTTTATGTTTTTTTTTAATATTAAAAAATAAAATTTTCAAATAAATATTTCATTGTCTTTTTTTAATTCATTAAAAAGTTTTGAAACTACTTATTTTTTACTTTATAGTGATTTTGGCACATGTATAATCTATGGTTTATACCATGTATAAAGTTATCACTTGTCAGTTAGTTGGTGTACGTATACTTCAGTGCTTGTATAGGTACTTACCTACTAGTCAATAGATAGGTATTTTTACATAATGTATAGGTACAGTTACAGTTAAAATACAACCAGTATATTAAACTACCTAATACCTAAATAGTAGGTACAGAAAACTATATTAATTTTAGGTCATAAAGACTTTGGTTACAATAATTGCTTGTACTTTATATATCTATAGACTATAATACACATTAATAGGTACCATATTATTATTAATAATATACAATTGTAATATTTAAAGATACTTTTTTTTAGATTTATTATTACAATATTGTATTGACTCTAATATAATATATATACCTACTATATTTATACAGTCGATTCTTGGCAACTCGAACTTTGATAACTCATAGCATAAAGAAATTCTCGAACAAATAAAATTCCCCTTCAATAACAATAACACATTAAGATTTTGATAACTTGACAATTTTAGTTAGTCGAATTTTAAAACTGAAATATCAGTTTGTCTTTTTGCTCTTTTCTTTAATAATTGCCATGTAACCATGTAGATACTATAAAATGCATATTTTTTATTTTAGTTATAATATGACAATCTAATTTTATTGGTATTCTTGCCTTTTCCCAAAAAAACAATAAGGTACCTACCTAGATACTTCTGTAGAAACAAATTGTTGAACTTGTTATAACAAAAATACCTAATATTTTATAACAATATGTATAATGCATAATTATACTTTATAATTATATTAGAAGTCTTACAAGTCAACATATACATATTATCATAATAAATATGAAACAAATAATAATTTATTACTAAAAATGTGAAAAAAATATTTCAATAATAATTATTAATTTTATTACTATATTTTATTATAAGCATTCTTTCACCACCTGATTGTTATATAAGCAGTGATAAAAATATAGGTCGTATTAAACATTTAGGGTCGCAAATAACAGTGGGAGGTGGTATCGTAGCTCACTAGTATAATATACTGTACCTAATACAGAAAAAATGTCAGTCACTACTGCACAATAATGTGGACGTTATAAAAAAAATTTAATTTAAAAAAAGAGATTTAATTAATTTGTAGACTGACGCATTTTCGGGGTTTTTCGTTCTTATTAGAACCAAACTTAAAGCTAGACCGTATTTCCGTATTGGTATAAATTTTATACTATAAAATATGTTAATTTTACATAAAAAAAAAACTCTCCACACTATTTTAATATTTCATACGCCTAGCCGACTTTGTGTGACTTTTAATTAATTATTTCCATATTATAGAATTCAATGGCGTAGCCAGGATTTCCCTTTGGGAGGGGCTACTGATGGTTTGTTGTATAGGTGAGATACAACTAGGGCCCCCCTCTCCACATAAGTGGTAACTGAGCCTTAATAAATTCAACTAAATACTTATAAGATCGATGTTTTAATTATTTTTTTTCATACAATTGCAGCGGTCTTTTGCTCGTGTCCAACTTTGAATTATCTGTGAAATATCATAATTTGCAGTTGACTGTTCCCTTCACGCCTTACAACAAAAAACAAAATATTTACAAAATTCACAAAAAAAATAACGTGCTACAACTTCTCGATCAATAGACAATAATGTTACTGAAAAATAATATTGTCCGTAATAAATGTGATAGTCAATAGATAACGACTATAAAATAATATGTCTGGATGTTAGCGCAATATATTTTGATTTCTCTCTCAGACACACGTGCAACATGGATAAAACGCTTTCACCTAAAACCGTTTTTTATGATTTTTGAGTAGGTAACCTTGGTTTATTATTTAACTATTTGTATTCGACTTTCAAAATAAAGAAAAAAATGTTGTAAATTTAAATGTTTTAATTGTTTTGAGACAATAATTTGACTAACCGATATGTCATGCATTAAAAAATATTTTTCTTTAACGTTATTGTAGTAAAAAAAAATGATTCTACAAAAATATTTTGTCTGTGTTGCGCGTGGGCAAGATGATAATCTAGAGAAAACAAACAGTGCGCTGACATCCTATTGTGGGTATATCATAATAATATTATGGTGATAAAGGGAAATGATTGATGACAATTTTACATCTTACCTGACAACCAAAATATTGTAATAACTGTTTTAAATATTTATCACTTATGTTACTTTACTGGAGGTTGCGGCTGCCCTTCTGCGAGACCTACCTAGTGAATAGTGATGATAGTCTGTTGTAGTATAGGTACTGATAAATATTAAATACTTTACCTACCTATTATAGGCTATAGTAGATAATATACAAATTTAGAAAGTATAACCGCAGCTAAATCGTAATCAGTAATAACTACGATAAGTGGTTGTGAACCACATGTGTCTGTTGTGGGTATACCTACTTGTTTAAAAACAAAATCCCAAATTTAATCTTACCAGTTACCAATTAATAAAATATAGCCGATAATACGAGTATTCGGCAGATGTCTTTTGTATGTTTTTTTTCCCGTTAAAATAAACAAAAACCGTCGAAGTCAGTCTGCTATTTATGTGTATAATATAGCGCATAGGCGTCCATTGCGGATGTGTTAAATTTGAATTCAAAGTTATCATATCATTGTACCACGTAGGTACGTATGCGAAATACGGTTCTGATTTCTGAGCAGTGGTGGAGATTTGCCCTAGTTATTTCTAAGAATATTTCATTATAAGTATAAATACTAAATAGATATATTCCTATTATACTGATACGGCAAGTTGAACTAATTTTTAACGAAAGGTTTCGAGTCCCTATGAATAATAAATAAGTAATTAAAAGTAGCTATAGCCTATAGATACCGACCTATTAGTTATTTTTCGTTTAAATTAAATATCCAATTTCGTATAAGAATTTAAATTTGAAATGTGTTTAAAAAATTCGTTCATAGGTATACTATGCTTAGGTATGCTTAGTATTATATTATTTATATTATCAACATGAGTCATGAGACATAATTTAATATATTATAGGTACAAGTATTTCGTTCCGTTGAGAATCTAAAAATAAGATTGGGCATTGCAATTGAAAGGACAATTTGTGACGATGGTAATAATTATTTATTTGTTTTTATTTTTGCAGGACAGATTTAGCCGCCATCGTCGACAAACAATCGACAGCACAAGCAGTACCGTCGATAAAAACCCTGGAAATAAATACAGTTACAATGGGGAGAGCGAAACTGCCCGTAACGGCGACAGAGGGAACGATACTACTCTCATTTATTTCATTACGCCTACGTATCCACGGCGAGAGCAAATTGCCGAGCTCACCAGATTGGGTCAGACACTAATGCATGTCTCCCGACTTTATTGGATAGTAGCTGACGACCGACCCGACTGCAGTCTACAAATAATGAACCTACTGCCAGATTTCAGTGAGAATAATGTTCAATAAATTATGTGCTTAGTTACTTGTAGGCTATACAGTTGTACCTACGTAGAATATGTCCCAAAAGTCCCTTATCACCCTTAGTATTGCCTTGGCAAATCAATATATATTGTTTAAATGCAGTTTTTTTTGCAATAATGAGTGTCTATTATAGAAATCCTAATTGAATGGTATAAAACTCAATTTTTTTTCAAAAATCAAAATTTCAAAAAAAATATTATGCAGTTGTTTTTTTTTTTAATTTTCAACATAGCCATTTTCTTGATCATGATAAAAAAAAAATAAAAAAATAAAAAAAAGAAGAAGAGAAAAATTGACCTATAGTTAAAGAAAATTAAGTTTTTGAATTTGTTTTTATAAAAATAGTAAAGTAGGTAGCAATAATTCTTTTACAAACCTCAGTTACCTCATATTATTTAACTAACATACATCCAGTATGGGACATTTTGTAATTTTTTTTAACTGGACCTATGAAGTTACAATTACTAAAATGAAAAAGAAATATACCAACCGATAGGTTAAAGTACCTACCTTGTACCTACCTAATTAAGTACCCGGTACCTACGCGTCCTTTTAAAAAGATTTTTTTTTTTAAATTCACAACGTGATTGTAATAATGATAATACACTGGATACTTATGATGCATAGTTTTTGTTTAATTTATCATTAGAAAATATTAAATAGACTTATAGACATAATAAATTTATATTTGATATTATGTATAGGCACATACTATATATATTATTATGAATCCTATAACCTAAATATGAAGATTGGCCAAGTGGAAATGTTGACCACCAGCCTAGTTCATCCTTGCAACCAATATTAATACTTACAATATTCACCATTTTATTCTTTATTGTTAAAGATTGACTTATTATCATTTATTTTTTATCAGGCATTCCTTACACATATATTGCCAGCCCTATGCCATCGATATATAAACACAACCCCGACGCCATGCCCCGTGGTGTTTCCAACCGTAGAGCTGCTCTCAACTGGATAAGACTGAACCACAACATTAATGACTCGAACGCTGTAATTTATTTTGGCGACGATGACAACACGTTCCATCTGGACCTTTTCAAGGAAATACGTACCACAAAGAAAATATCAATGTTCCCGGTTGGCTTGGTCGGAGAGTATGGTGTTAGTTCACCAATTATTGATAAAGTTAGTTTGTTATAATTTCTCAACCACATTAGCTAGACTATAAAATTATACAAATATTTGCCTTAATTACTTATTAATCCTTAATTGGTGTTAAGGGAAAAGTAGTTGGCTTTTTTGATAGCTGGCCAGCAAAGAGAAAATTTCCTGTGGACATGGCTGGATTTGCTATTAATGTTCAACTTTTATTCAAATATCCTTATGCTACTATGCCATATAAGGCGGGTTTTGAAGAAGACCGCTTCTTATCAGCACTGGCTATTCGATTAGATGAAATTGAACCAAAAGCAGAAAATTGCACCAGGGTATGTATCAATGATAAATTACACATTAGTTACATATAAATCTTTGTTAGATATTTTATATCTAATCAACTTGGAACTTGAGAGTATATTTTTATTTTGCTTTGATATAAAATGTATTTAATGATATAGAATGATTAGTTTAAATATTACTGTAAGATAAAATTAAAAAAAGGCAGGTAAGTGGATGTCGCTCAGCTGTACAGTAGGTTACAAGTTGGTCATTGTTTAATGGATTGTATTAAACTTGAATTCAATGATATAATATCATTGTATAAGAAAAACGATTCTGAACGGAGACGGTTTGTCAGTCTGTATATTTTATATTGTCATAAATAATTGTTTTATATTTCCTACCATGAATCTAATCATCCGCGGTTCTATGATAAGTCGGTACTGACTCATAAGTTAATGATACATGTTAATAATTTATGATATTTATATAGATAATACCTACCTATTTTTTTTTTTCGTTGCTACGGTGATAAACAAATTGTTAGAAATTAAAATCCCATTTTAAGCGGTTTTTCGTAATTTTTCAGTACTTTTTCCCGTGGCATTAAATAACTATTTAGAAAATCGAAAAATGACCTCCCTAAAGTACCATCTTGGTCCAATTTGCTAAAAGATAAGGTACTATATGTTGAAATCAAAGCACTCCTTCTGGTAGAAATTTTGTATACAGGATATAAAAAAATAAAAAAAAAAATAAACACCATTGTAAAACCACTAGCTTCCTTGCTCCGCTCAGAATCTAAAAAAATGATAATTACATTTAATAAATCTATTGCAAAATTTAGTTAAATTATTAAAATGGCAGTTATTTATTTATTTTTAGCTTTTAGTACTTAAATTTATTTGAACAACTTTCTTGTGTTTACCAATTTTATACAATTTCTATTTGTGAAGATCATTTGTTTATTTTACTTTTATTTCAACATAAATTCTGTTTTATATTTGTGTTTTTTTCTATTCAAACCAAAGTAAAAATTATAAAATATTTGACAGTGCCTACCTATATTGTGTAGTTTATTTGGGAAGTAATTATAAAGTAAATAAATAGTTTATTTAATTAGCAAGCTATGCGAGTTATATAAATACAGAAATATTATTATATATTATAAACGGGATAGAAATATTGAGTATTTTTTGTCATAAATAAATTAGTTTAGTTTGTCAGTCACCGTTACAGTTTGGTTATTTATTTAAATTATTTAACTTTTGTCATATTCTTACAATATTTGTACTCATATGAAATTATTTCTATAATAACATACACACGATTGTCACAGATTTTGGTTTGGCACACTCAGACAGCGAAAAAACCTAAGCCAATAGTCATGGTCAGATCCAAAGCAACATTGCCTGGTTCACTTGCTACTCTACTCGATCAAGTGACTATGTTAGGTATAGGCGGAGTGAGTGAAACCACAGGTGGGTCAAAATAGTTATATATAATTTTTAGTTTTTAAGTATATAGTTCATGAGTAATTATTTGTTTAATTTATTTTAGGTGTTCGCAGTTATATGACGAAAAATGGTAATATTTTTAGGGTATAACCTAATTTAACCTCATTTTTTTAAAAAATATTTATGTGAAATGTTTAATTAGATAAAGTGCAGTATAACTTTTAGAACAGAATATTATAAGATTTTACTTTATTTCTTTTAATTTGTATTGTTACGTATAATATTTTTGTTTTCATTTATATAACTTGTTGTTGTTGAAGTCATTATATTATAATATCGTTCATGTTTTTTTTTTTTTTATGTGTGAGTAATTTTAATACTACAAATAATCAATTTTAAGTTTCAATACAAAATACTTTTGATGTACAATAATAATTTTGTTTTACAGCAAATTGATAGCTTCACTATTAATTTTAAATTTAAATAATGAATCTATTGAATAATAATTATTTTAGTTTATTTTCTAAGATAGATGTTATAACAGATTAGATTCAGTATTTCATAACTATGTAAAATGTAAATAATATGTATGTATTTGATTTTTATCACTATATAATAACAGTGATAATAATAATTAGTAATATCCACATTGTTCTCTTTATTATCTTTTATTAGACGGCATTGATTTTACTCCGATTATTTCATCCAATAAATAATTTAGCAATCCCATAGTTTGATCTTGAACCAAAACTATGTCAAAAGCAAGTTTATATTGCTGCAAATACCCATCCTCGTGTTCCATCTGTAATTATTAATGTAATATATTCATATTATATTGAAAAATAATATATATTATAGTTATTTATGATAGACAAAATATATGCTATTACCAAATCGGCGTTTAAAAATCCTATACGTAGTACAGTATCGTATTGGATACCACCATCCATATTTGCATCTCCTAACGAATCACCTAAAAGAATAACATTGGATCTCCCACTTAAATGTGTATCCTGAAAAGTGAAAAAAAATATATAGTATATATTTTATATTTTACAAGTAATTATTATTTGTTGTTTGATTTACATTTTTATGTGAATCGATGTATGCATGTTCATTTTTGTTGAATACGTGTATGAGTTTTTGTCCTTTGAATCCTTCAATTGTGGATAAGCCATTATTATCTTTGGACATTTTCAAAAAATTTGACACTACTGATACATTATCAGTAAACAAATTTTCATGCATTAGTATCAGTTCAACAACATCACCAATACCAGCAGATAATACAATAATGGGTATTTTTTTGCTGAATAATTTGTTAAACGCTTCAGCACTCCCATCTCTAAAAAAAATATACGAATATTTAAAATTTAAAAATAACATATAGATAATACCTTATATTTTACTATTGCTAATAATATTTATAACTATAAATTATAATAATTTATGTATTATTAAAGTAGACAGTAAAAAAAAATACAGTTAAAAAACAAAAACTATTATTTTTAATCCATACATTAGATCAAACTTTAATATGTTTAGTACTGACCTCAAACTCAATATATATGCTAGGCAAACGTTACCATCAATGATGGTCAGAATAAACAAATTTATGTAGCAACTAATGCATAGGTAATATCATTCATGTAAGAAATAATATTTCATTAGTATTATGCTCAAATTAAACAAATTGTTAAATAGTTATTTTAACTATAGTCCGGATTTATATTATTCTCTAAGAAACCTACAAATATTCTCTTCAAAATTAGAAAAATGTATAAAAATAATTAATAACCCTCAATATATGCTTAAATATTTATTTGTTATTATTTTTTTTTTTACAATAATAGTAATATAATATACAATAGTATATTTTCACAATGGAATAATAATTAGTGCAATTATTGCTATATAGTAAGTTAAAATGGTGTCTTTTGTGTAAACGGTTTATCCATTGTTTTAAAAGGTGTGTAAAATATATTGATTTTTATTTTATTAGTTTTAAAAGCTTAAAACACTCAATTGCATAACCAAAAACTTTTACGTTTGATAAATAAATAGGTTGTTTTTATCAGTATAGATTAAGTGTAAAGATATAAAATAACAGCAGAACAACATAATAGTATTATCACTGCGTGTTTTTTTTTAATCAAAATACTTAAAAAAATGTTCGGGAACCGTAATAATAAAATTAATTAAAATAATTTTAAAAATGAAATAAATTAGTATTTTTACAATTTACAAAATATTCTAAAGTATATGCAAAATAAGCTAAATATTTCGTGATCCATGAAATATCTTCAAATATGTAAAAAAAAAAAACGTTTTCCTAAGAACTTTGTGTTTAAAATCCAGTAACAATCTGTAAAATCATAATATAAATCTGGACTAAAATAATTATAACAATAGTTTAGTAAATAATAGCATAAAAAGTTTAGTTGAAATTATACACATTAATTTATGGTTATAGAACTGAACCAGCATGGTGTTGCCGGTGATAAATTAAAAAATGCCAGAGGATTTAGCCTATCTCAAACTCAGTTAAATGAAACTACACATATTTTTAACACAGTAATTTGGATAGTTTTAACATAATATAAAATACAGGCCTAAGTTATATACAATTATATTAATATTACTATTTTATTTTATATAATTATTCGCAACCGTTTATAAGCAAAAAGCATTAGTTTTTCAAAAGCTTACAAATCCCCTGTGAGTCAAGTCTTTAAAAATAAAAAAATTGGGTTCAAGGTGTACATTCTTGTTATTAATATTATAAATGCGCAAGTCTGTGACTTTGTTACTCTTTCACGTAAAAACTACTGAATGGATTTTAATGAAAATTTACAATAATATAGCTTATAAATCAGAATAACACATAGGCTACAAATCATCACCCTAGGTCCAACCAGGGGATGTGTTCAAACAAGGATTTAGAGATTTAGGGGAAATTTTTGTTTATAAATGGTTGCTATGGGTTTTAAAACTATTATAAACTACCAGCTGAACCTGTGCACTTCGCTGCCCGTAAAAAATTGCAACTCTTAAAAAAATTATGATTGTTCAACTTCTTTTGGGTGTAACTTGCTGCGGTAAGTGCAACTCAGCTACCCAGGTAGGCAATATTCAATAATTCGATTTTATGCAAGCTTGAACAAGATCTGGCCGAATAACCAAGGGCAACCAATAATAAATAAATGCTAATTTCTACTGTAGACTGTAACCAATGGCAACTATTAATAAATAAAAATAAAATTCCCAATTTCCATAGTAAATCTCAATGTCCCTGTTTGAGCACCTATTTAAAATGCGAATTTCGGCAAATCCTTTCTTATTGCACGGTGAAATAATATGAGAAGAACATCTATTCCATATTTCAAGTTCGTATGTTGCGTAGTTTTTGAGATACAGCGATTAGTGAGTGAGTGGTATTTGGATTTTATATGTATAGATTATTGGTTGACGTGAAATAAGTGCATTTATTCAATATATTTAATTTTTTTGTACGCTGTGTTATGTATCACAATTACGTAAATATTGAGTGTATTATACTCACATATAAGTTACGTACATGGTACATAAAACAATCACGATGCCACGTATTCGTAGACGAGGAGGAAATATTGGTCGATAGACTCGGCATTCACAATTAGTCCAACCGTTTAGGAGGAGTTCAGTAACATACTTGGTATGACTTTGATACTTTAGAGTTAAATTATAAAGTTACGTACAAACATCAAGGGGTCTTGCCTAAATGATAATATAGATACTGCTGCGAATCAGAATTTTTATTTCGGGCAACGGAAAAGTTAAGATAAATTTTGAATACCATACACTGAATATTAAATAATGAATTGAACAAAGTTTCAGTCATATCATATTACATTTAACGGGTTATGAAGTGCACGGGATCAGCTATTACACTATAAATATGTGTTCTATATTATGTACCAAATTTCAGAACGAAGAGTGTGTACGACTTGGTTGAGGATCGCTTACACACACAAATATTAATTTTTAATAATACATAGATGATTCATAAACTCAGTGATATTAAATAACTAAAATAGTATACAGTGATACTGTATGACACATGCAACTTGAAAGTGTAAAAAACATTTAATTACTAATTATGTATATAATATTATATGAAATATAATATTAAAATCACCATAAAATTTTCTAAAAAAACTAATTTAAAAACTCCAATTATTTACATAGTAGCCAATGATTAAGAAATACCTAAGATGAAGGTCGGCTTTCTTGATAGATTTAATAATATCTTCATACTGGAAACACAGGCCTTTCAACAAAAGTTCACTTTGATGCCACCATTCTTCAATAAATGGTAACTTTTGTGCAACTGTCATTTGTGTGTTATCTTCGATTGGTCGATATTTTTGCAATAGTGTTCGCGCTTTTTCTTTGTAATCTTCTGATAGACTATCACACGCTTCAAAAACACCTATACAAGACAAAATTGTAATTATTTATTTTAAAATATTCATTAGATTAATTAACGCTTATTAGTAATTAATATTAGTAAAATCATATGTTAACTATAAGCAATAATTTATTGCATTGAATCGAAGTACCAAGAATATCTGAAAATGATTTATTAGTGATTGTGAACAAAAACAGGTAAATATAACATAGGTAATATTTGATTGTGTTTGATCTTTATACATTTATTTTAAAAACCTTTGAACTATAAATCAATTTATAAATTACATTATAATTTATGATTAAAATATAATATGCATTTAAATAACAATGTCAAACAGTAACAGTAATAAAATACTGTTTTTTTTTCCATTAATTCATTATTTTATAACAACAAATTATTAATGATTATGTTTACATTTTGTATTATTTAAAAAAAAAGTTTAAAGTATGACAATTTCACTTCCTAGTTTCTTATTTTATTTTTTTATAAAATATAATTATAATCTTAAAAATGTTTAGTGTGTTTTGTCACAGAATAAAGTTTAGTTAATATATTTTGGATAGCAAAGATTTCTGAAATTTGGCACTTATATTGTTGTTTTTCTCAGAAATAATAAAATGTTGCAATATTTTAATTGTTTATTAAATAAGATTAAAATATTATATTAGAAAAACAACTTATAGTTGTTACGGATAAAATACCAATAGTTTCTTAATTTTTAGTATATAATGTTCATATTATGTATTACATTACTTTAATTTTTTCTTAAATTTATTTTATTATATATTTTATTTGACAATCACCTAAATATTTGATGTTATTTAAATATAGTTTAGCTAGCATTAAAACTAATTTTTAATTTAAGACTGAATAATGAAATCAGAATTTAAAAATTTAAATTTAATTTTTAAAATTAAAACAAAACCTAAATTTTTAACATATTTTGTAAGCTATATAATATTATAATCTTAAAAATATACTAAAATTCTTGCACATCTTAAAAATGTTAATACCTATAAAACATTTATAACTAATAATTTAGTTTCTGTTATGTAAAAAAAATCAGGCTAATAGATAAAATTAAATATCAAAACTTAAACCTCGAATTAAACCAAATATTTGTAATATTAATTGTAAAGGAATATTTAATAATATATTTGTTTTCAATTTTCACTACTAAACTACTCATGGTTTGTTTATTGTTATACTCTGAAGTAGTTATGGTTCGATCGAAATCTGATATTATCTAGACATTAAGATTCACGATAAATATGTAGTATTAGTAGGTATATAATATTTACAACAGAACAATGTTACTTGTAATTTATCTGGGCCGCCCGACACCAGTTGTTTTATCTTTTCATGACCATCATTTTTACATCGGATATGAACTTTGAAGCAAACTTTTGTTGGATCTACAGAAATACCGTAGGTATTATATTATATTAACTATAGATAGGTTACTATCTAAAACGCAGTCGATAAGGCTGGATGAAAATTACACAAAACGTACCTCATCAGTGAACTTCATGGTTGAACAGGGACGTGAATCGAACGTGTGCGGTGCGTAAAATGGCTCGGGAGCGCTTTACACGAAAATCAATTAAGTACCTACAACAATAACACACAATTATTATTAATGTGTTATGTGAACGGTGTCGAGCAACAAGTGCACAATGTCCGTTACACAAAATGAAATAAACGTCGTCACAACTCAACCGTGTGAAACCGCAGAGGTGGCGACAGTAACTTACTGTAATACTGTTATAGTCAGTGACGACTGACGACTAACCAGAGATCTCAAATTCTCAACGATTGACGGCGGTCGCGATTGTATGTTCGACGGGACGACTTTCGGCCTCTTGACGACGACGTCGATATCGGACGGCTATTAAGAATATTAAAGGTGGCCGATAAAAATGTTATTGCAAGTACTTACCTACGTTGTAATACTATAGGAGCTAATCGCATGACACGGTTGTCATTCGTCACGTAGTGGAAAAAATGACCGGGCAAATAACACCATAGATAATAGAATTAGCTACCTATTAACACCGTCATCGGTACAACCGTCATTCGTCCACAATAACGCGGCAGAATGGCAGATAAGGCGACGAGATTGTGGCAAATGGCAATGTACGTCGTGACTGGTGCCTACTAACTTCCTACAATAACAATATATTCTAATAAAAATTACTAATTAGGTATTATTGTATTAGTATAACATTAATTTTAATCGTCGCTGCCGCCGTACAATATACAAATGTATTATAGATCAGTGGCAATAAATATATTGGAGATTGCAGCTCGGGAAATACACGAGCGACATGGGATTATTTTACATGTATGATTTAGGTATCCTTTATGAGTGGATTGAACATAGCTGAACAGTTACTGCTGATGCCATTCACTAAGAATTTTAGCTGTTGTTTGGCCTTTGGCATTGTTTTGCGATTTATTGTACTTATATAAATTTTCGCCTACGCTATGGAAATGATAAGGAAATTATTTGTTATTTTATCAATTTTATTGTTGCTAATGTGTCAAAATCGGAATTTTCTGAATTCACCATTCTCCATGTATTCGACAGTCGACACGACTTACAATATTTGAAATTTGAATACTGTAAAACATTCATGTGCTTACATTATATAGTGCTCACTGCTTTGTATATTTTATTTATTATTTATCGCCAGCCGCGTTATCAACATTCAAAATGGGCATATTGTTTGATGTCAATGATTGTCCACCACGATCATAATAAGCCACGTAAACGGACAATTGTATAGGTCTTAGGAAGACACTGTTTCCCTTGAAAAAATGTAATATTTGCTGTTTTTTTCACAAAATCATTTTAAGAAATTTACATTAAGATATCACTTTGTGGATCGGCTAAAATTGAGACAATTTTTTTAAATATGATGAGATAATATATATAATTATATGTACGAATTGTGATCGGTTATAAACTATAACTCTGTATAATAGCTCTATATTTTTTAGCTAAGTGTTTTTAAATATACTATTATAATATAGTATTATCTATATTATTCAGTAATCAGTATTAAATGATAATATTGTTATTTGTTAATACAATTTTGACGAGGGCCAATATATTTGTCCGCACTTCTTAAACGGCTATTTTTTGCGGGGACTAATACCTAATTACCTATATTGTTTTCAATTCAATAAACACACGGTTGTACGTTGTAGGCACCTAGATCAAAGGTCATAGCCCATAGGTAACATTCATAGACTCATAGTATTACATAGGTAGGTACACTATGTTGTATCTACAACGGTGAAATATACCTAATGAACAATGAGGCCCATTTCCCCCCGCTGTCCATTTTTATCCAAAATAAAATAACGTTAGATAATATCTATATATTTTATCTTTATAGGCTATATAGCTATGTTCTACAACTAAGCTTACGAGTTACGACCTATACATATATAGTGGCTAGTGGTTTTACATTTACTATAGGTACCAGGTGGTAACCTACATATTATTCATTTATTATACCCAAGACCGGATTAAGGGGGGGGGGTCCAGGGGGGGCCATGGCCCCCGGGCCTCCATTTATTTAGGGGCCTCAGATTTGTCCATTATAACACCGCATAAATCACTTTAAAAAAATCGATGATTATTTAGCGAGGAAAAAAGCTTGTAAATTATAATTTGTAAATAAAATGATACTTAATTCTTGATTTATTGCTATGTACCTAATACCTATATATATTTATTATAACAGGTACCTATATATTAATATACATTATTTTTTTTTCGTACAGGGGCCTCATTTAAACTTTGGCCCCTGGGCCTCAAAATGTCTTAATCCGGGCTTGATTATACCTAGCCTATATTTACAATTTAATTCTGTTTCAATAACTTATCCTCATTACCCATCTATATAATATATATTATGATACCCAGTCTATTGATAATTGCTTATTATATTATACATATATTATATTATACAATATATTTATAGATTAGTTTTTAAGTTCTATCGTACACACCCGCGGCTGACACGTAACTATGATAATATTTTTATTATAATATATAAAGGTATTATGTTAGTTCAGTGGCTTACCTACCTAGTGCCTACCTATTTATAAACGATTTATGAGAAGCCGTGACTCGTGGGATAGTCTATAATTTCTATTTTCTACCTAGCAAAAACTTACAAAGAAAGAATGCATTCGATTGTACCTAAGAAGTTATTACTTTGCATTAATCTACCATAGTTATTACTATTGGCCGTATTAGCAGTTAGCACAGAACAATAGGCATATTGCATAATGTATTCCACTATTACATTTACATATTATTCATGAGTGTGTGTACCTTTATGTATAGCTATAATTAAAAATAATTATAAATATTAAATATAGACGGCCGACGCCGATTAAGAGCAAATAATCGAGTGCAGACTGCAGTTAACATAGGTATTGATATGAATGTCGAAATAGTAATATACATTAGGTATAATATATTAATTATACACATTAATATATTATTTTCTGCAGCTAACGATCATTAATTTCATTAGTAATTTCTAAAAGAAAAAGATTGTTCCGTGGTATTAAAAGTTCGAAGGAGCTCAGTCGCGGCGATAACATTAATGTTTTTATAATGATTTTTGACACAATGACATGCCTACAATAAATATAATATTATCTACACATTATGTATATTTTTATTTCAAAGCCAATTAAAATTTAAAATACTTTTATTTTACATTATTTTTAGGCGTATAAAAATATGTTTTAAATATTTGTGTTGGTATTTTCGCCAAAATACCTATATAATAAGAATATCTATCAAAAAGTTTTTATTCAACATGAATTTAAAAAATGTGATGAATCATATAAAAATTAATAAATAGTACTGAATAGAAAAACAAATTAACTACTATCTAGTCACTCGAGTAGGCAATAGATTGTAAATCAGAAAATATTACGGCAATATGAAAAATCGTGTATTTTATCTTATTTTTACTTACGACATTCTCTATTAAGATTTTCGGCATAATAATGTTTATTGTCAATAATATGTCTGAATGTGAATAGATAAATAGAAAAATTCGTAATATATAGTATTAACAATATAGGTACCTAAATCTACTTGACCGTCATGACTATGCAGTATAATCGGTTATTGTATTTCGACAGCCAATCGAAATTTGCTAGACGCTAGTGTACTAGGTACACACAAATATGGAATTCACAGGTTGAGTAGAAACTAGACGTGCCAAATTATTCTGCAATTTCAGCTTCTATTAGTAATTATTGGGTCAAAATATCAGTCTAAGGTAAATCGATACAACAAACAAATTTAACAAAAATATTAAATCAGCGATTCATGTTAGTTATTCGATCCAATTATTACGTTGTGTATTATATTAATATAATATAAGAAATTGTAATTTGTATTATTTTGAATGCACGACGTTCTTCGTCTTATAGCTGGTATATATTCTTTTCTTATTATTGTTTTCAATTTTTCATGCATAGCTTATCATCAGTGGCATATCTACAGTGGGTAGGGGGGTACGGGGGTCTTAACTCCTTTGGGTATTCGTTTAGTATGTGACCTACAGAGTGAAAATTGAGTTTAGTATGTGACCTACCAAGACGATTATCTATATTATGTACGGGTACTGGTCTATTAACAGGTAAGATGAATTTTTGAAATTTAAGTAAAATACAAAAAGTGTATTTCTAAAAATATAATTTAAATAAAATAAAACTTTTTTATAATAACATAATTTTATGAAATCTATTGAATAGTTTTGACATACCTATTGCTGGTATAGGTACCTATGTATCTTTATTCATTTTGTTTAACTCATTTTGACATTGTTAAATGAAATCCTGTATTATTTTATATTTGTATATTGTATTACTAATATATTAGTTAAATAACTATTAACATAATTTTATGATTTTTAATTTAACTGTTTTTAAATTAATTAATGGTCCTGTGGATCATATACTAAATGAATACCCAATACGGTAGGTCACGCGGTCTGGTAGGTCACATACTAAACGAATACCCTCCTTTGAAACCAAAACCAAATGTTGTACCCAAATACACAATACAACATGTATATAATAATACGAAAATAATATGCGTATACTGAATGTCTATTAAAAATTGTATATCCCCACCTTGAAAAAATCCTAGATAGGTACGCTACTCGGCTACTGTAGCTTATAGGTCATAAGTGCAACACAATATTGTTTTGCCGTCATAATATACTATCTAATACTATAATATAATGATATCATACTATCATGTCCCTATGACTCTATGTTATTCTGTTTCTATTATGTTTCCAGAATTCTGGGACGGTGCCAAATTTGTTTTCTTAGTCAAAAAGCTTGAAAATGTAATACAAACTTCTTCTGAAGTTATTCTTACAGTAGTTTAATATTCCTTGTCTTAAACATATTATGTGCACAATGATTTTTTTTAGACGTTTAGGTTCAAATTTCGTCGAAATTGGATA